TGTTTTGTGTTGCATAAGAAAAGTTGCATTTTCTTTAAATAATGCCATACAAAGGAAGAGCTTTTGCAGTAAAACACAAATTTCTGGTAAGGAAAAATGCTAAGTAAGAAGGGAGGAGAAACAATCCTATGTCATAATGGTTTTAGGAGCTAAAAAGATATCTTCACAGGTTGGACAAGTACTGCCCTAGCTTACAAGATGAACTCTTCCCTTTTTCCCTGAAGGAGAGACCCTCTGTTAACATAGTCACTGCTTTCATTCAGAATTGCTAAGTAACAAGAAAAGTGTTCTGCTAGCAATAGCCTTGCCAGCCACCTCCTATAATCTTACCTACATATCCTGTGATATGTCCTTCCTGGTGTCTGGAGACATGGTCTTCAAATGTCCAGCACCTTGCACACTTCCACAAGGACCACCTCTCCACTGTCCACCTCTCCAATGACCACCTAGACCATGTCTGCCCAAGGCTTACCCTTTGAAGCCTCCTTTGTCTGGCCACCAGCAACATATTCCCCAAAGCTAGAACAGCCTCAGAAGCTGGCAGGGCCAAAATGTCACAAAGAAAAATGGATCCTCTTTCTCATGGCACCCCATCAGATTCTCTTCAAAGTTGTCATGGTGAGAAGTGACATCTTCCCCAAGCTTTAGCCTCCGATTTCCCTGGGATGAGGCTAAATAGGGAAGGCATCTTTCCTGAAATTTCTGTCATGGAACATTCTGTTACCAAAAGTTCAGTACTTTTCCCTGAGGCCAAATGAATGGGAATAAACAATGAGGACAAGTGGTTTGAGGAAAAAGAAAGAGAAGTTTATTAATTTTCCATTGAATGAGGAGGATGGCAGACTCTCATCTTAAAGAAATATCATCCCCCCTTTAAGCAGAAATATGGGGCTTTTAAAGGGGCTTTTCAGTGGTTGGGCATGGCTTCAGGCTTTGTCCTTTAACTATAGTTGGTGGTTTGGGTCGACCTTATGTCTCCTGACCTTTGCCTTGATAATTCTGTTGAGCCATCTCCTATGGTTTAAAGATACTAGAAAACAAAGGACAAAGAACATTTTTCTGCCTCTTTGATTACTGGCCTCAGGCAGGAATGCAGGTTTTAATTCCCAAAAAGGGTAAGGAGTTTTAAAGAGACAACTTATAAAACATTCTGCCCTTTTTCAGACCTTTACTTCTGTTACAATTCCAGGAGTAAGCTGAGAAAAGATCAGCCTCAGCCATACCAACCTTTCCAGAGTCTCCGAAGAAGGAACTTAGATCAAGTTCAGCTTTGTTACAGTGATCCATCTGACTCTCTGTGCTCTGGGCATTGATCCTCATCCTCTGAATGATTGTGTTTATATATCTGCTTTCTGAATTATGTGCCTCTTTCATGATTATCTTACCTTGCTTCTCCAGTAAGCTTCATAGGCAGGAAGTTTATTTGGGAGCATGGTCACAGGGAAGTGGAATAACGGGCAAGGGGGGGTCTGAGAAGGAAGGAATGTCCATGCAAGGAGGCATTATCTTTTCTCACATCACCAAGAACAGCTGATGGTCAAGCCCAGGAGACTTCTTGAGTATCTTTAAGAAAGGGTCTCAGAACTCTTTGTCCTGGAAGTGAGGGCAGGAAGTGTTATTCCATAGCCTCCTTTTACTCCCCTCACTACCATCATTTGTCAAGTCTGGGCCCATGTGCATTAATTCCCCCACACTTTATGGTTGTACACACAAAAGCATACTGCGTTTCACAGGTGCCCTGCATTGCAGTATCATAAAATCCTGGGGTCAGAAAGAGAGAGTTACACAGCATGGTCCTGCAGAGAAACTTTTTCAGGAGCTCCTGTGCAAATCCCATCCACACCTACATGAAAAGGGCCATGTGACAGTATATGGACAGAAGGGTGGCAGAGAGAATCTGTAGGGATGTCCAACAGATGTCAAGTACAGTTAGCAGCAAGTTCAAGAAAGGTCAAGCTTTGATATTAAAAAATTAACAGCGTCTTATCCTGAGAAGGATATCTACAGGAAAGTCAGAGGCATGTGGAGAGATGATAGTTGCAATCAGCAACCATATGGCTTCCCAACAAATCCATGACTAATCCAACATCACTGGTGAAGAAATTGAGCTTCTCTGTATAGTTAAAAAAAGAAAAAAGAAATAGCCTTTACACCCATTGTAAAGTGTGCTTTAGACAAAACAACAGGAGTAAAAAGAGAAATTCCAGAAGTTAGAATGAAAACAGTGCTGACCCGGGGAGAGGAGTCAGGTAGGTGCATCAGGGCAAAGAAGAGAGAATATTGAATGAAAGTCCCCTTTGCACCAAGGAATGTGGGTCCAGGAAAGCCATGAGGGTCAGGGACCCAACCTCAGAGCTGAAGTTCTAGTCAGCCAGGTCCTTAGTTTGGTGGCATGGAGGACTGGGAAGCAGGACGCAGGTTGCCTTAGGTCTGAGAATCCCATCATATTGGCAACAAGGCTTAGCATTCCTCTTGTAGGGTCCACAGGGTTGAGGACAGGCTTGTACCTAAGCCTAGAGCCAAGCTAAAGTAATATAAAAGGGCTTGAACTCAGGCATGGTGGTTTCAGTGGCCCCAGCCCAAAGGGAGGTGACTACTTAAACTCTAGCAGGGAGAGAAGCAGATGGCAGGGAAAGTAACAGAAGCATCCGGCTCTTGCTGAGCCCTCACTGCTCTTCTCAGCTCATACCATTAGGCTTGTCACATGGAAATATTTCCCTTATAAGAAACTTCCTAGTAGTTCTCAAAGCAGCCTCAGCCTCTGGTGTCTCTTTACAAATAACACCATCCATCCAGCCATCCCTTCATTTATTTATTCTGTAACTGTCAATTCTCAGAGCAGTTACTACACTGAAGGCACCATGTGGAGATGGAGGGTAGAACAATGTCCGGGGAGCCAGTGGGAGGTGACACAGCTGTGGAGCCAGCAGGTACCCCACAAACATTTAGGTGAGCAAAATAATGAGGGAGGGACCACTGAACACCTGGGTTTGAAGGAGTTTTACATTTTCCAAAGACCACACTTGTAACAGGTCGTGTATTACAGGAAAGCCTGAATTAGTGACCTCGGTTTTATCCCAGCTCTCTTGTTCCTGTGTTGGCCACAGAGAAGGGATCCCCATGAGAGGCAGGGTCTTCAGGGCCTGCTGTCGCATTAGACAGGATGAGTGGGTGGGCTGGAAGGGCCGGGTTGCTCTGGAGCTGCTAAACCTGTCTTTGCAGAGTGTCAGTGCTCAGCACTCCTCTTCATTGGCTAATGCCCCTCTGTCCTTCTGCTATTGACTCTGAGTCCTTTCTTGGAGAGAAGGCCTTTTAGGGAAAAAGGAATCATTTTAGCTTCTCCTATCCCCTTCCAGGCCTGTGTACACTGAGTGATGGATGAATAGAATTATTAGTTTTTTTCAGCTGAGACAGTTCAGGCTACCATGCTCTTGGCCTCCCAGTAGAACTAGAAACATCTATTGTATATCTCCACATCCACTTCAAATATTTAGCAGCTCAACAAACCTCACCTATGCTAAGGATTAGGGCCTTCAAGAAAATAGGACTGTTTCTGGTTCTAATAGCCCTAAAACTTCTTCCATCTTGCTCTTTCAGCCCACCCCTCACCATCCTCCCTGAAAACACTGCATCTGGTTGCAAAGAGTGCTCACTGGGGTTAGGGCCCAGGTGACATCCCTGTCAGACAGCAAGTGCCAAAAAAAATATCAAATGGGTAGTTTCATCACAAAAAGTGAGTCAACAGGTGGATGACAGAAGCGGATGAATCATGTCTGACAGGCAAGGAATAGACCCAGTAGCCCCAGAAGATCCCATTTCCTTGAGGCAGGGCTTGTTCCCTGCATAAAAGGCCAGTTGTCTGGGAACACCACACCAGATCCTGGTGACCACACAGCCTGTTCGTCTCTGCACACCAGGTGAGTCTCTTTACTTGGAACTTTTTACCTTTCATTCTAGGTAGTTGGTTATTAGAGACTCATTGGCATTCTCAGTGTCTCTTTTCCCTCCTTATTGAAATTCAGTCATAGCCATACAGACTGTACATTGCAATTATAGCCTCTAGGAATATCTTTGTTTTAAAAGTAACCGTGGTGTGGGCTTGAAGGGACTTCAGACATTATTGGTTCTGCCCCACTCACTCTTGCTATGTCAGTGATGGCTTGTGCAAGGATTCAGAGTAAGTTAGTAGCAGAGAAGAACCCACGTCCATAGCACTTTTACTGACACTATAATTGTTTTTTACTCATAATTTTAATACAGAGAATTTTATTCTCTCAACAAATTTTTTTTTTTTTGTGAGAATTTACCATATTGGGCACTTTGGCTGTGAAGAGATAATTTAGGCAACAGGAAACTTACTCCACAAAACTATAATTTATTCAGGAGAATAAGAGTTAAAATATAGTAAGTTATCAGTGCCAGGTGATAAGGGCAAGTGTGGTAGCACTTTGGGGAGACAGAGGAAATTTCTGCAAGCTTACTCTAGAAAAGCTACCAGCAGTACCACATGAAGTGATCTGTGGTGGTTGGGTGATATCTAAACAAGCAGAAATGAGAAGACCACATGAGCCAGGCTAGAAGTGGGATCGTATGGAGTTCTAGAGAGGTCAGAGTTATCCTATAGGTGATAAGCCATGCCGTTTATCAGAAATAAGTAAGTGGATTGAAGTTATTGGGTTTTTTTTCCCCAAATAACATCACATTTCCAAATGATCCAATATTGTGAGTTTTATATTCCTGGTAGGAGCCTGTGCTGTGTTGCTAATTTGGTTTTAAGATGTGTAGAAAGAAAGAGAACACCAAAAGAGGCCCAGCTTAAGTGGAGCAGAGCAAATCACCTTTAAATTCATCCTCTTCAAAGGTTCAGAAATCATCAAAATATTCTTTGAGGTAGAGAGGGAGAAAGAACATTTGCTTTTAAGATACCTGAAGTGGCATTTTTTCTTCCCTAGTTATTCCCCGTTTAAACCATCTATTCTGTCTCTAGGACCAGCCACCGTTGAAGCATGAATTCCCAGCAGCAGAAGCAACCCTGCGCCCCACCCCCTCAGCCTCAGCAGCAGCAGGTGAAACAGCCTTGCCAGCCTCCACCCCAGGAGCCCTGCCACCCCAAGGTTCCTGAGCCCTGCCACCCCAAGGTTCCTGAGCCCTGCCACCCCAAGGTGCCTGAGCCCTGCCACCCCAAGGTGCCTGAGCCCTGCCACCCCAAGGTGCCTGAGCCCTGCCATCCCAAGGTGCCTGAGCCCTGCCCCTCAACGGTCACTCCAGCACAAGCCCAGCAGAAGACAAAGCAGAAGTGATGTGGTCCACAGCAATGCCCTTGAGGAGCCAACCACCGGATGCTGAAACCCCATGCCACTCTGCTTTTGAGTCCCATTTGCCTGTTGACCTTGCAATTAGCATGCTGTCACCCAAAAACATGTGCTATGAAGCTTTCCTTCCTACATACTCTGAGCCTCTGAACTAAGCTGAAGGACTTAATACCAGAGCTAGTTTTCAGCCGCTCAGAATTCACCTGAAGGAGGGACTTGAGGTGGAAGCAAGTGATTCAGCTCTATCATGCCCCCACCTTATTAAATTCACTTTCAATTCTACTCCTGACTGTGTGTGTCATTGACTCTATAACTTTATTCCTTTCCCATATGATGCAAGAGCTGTGAACGGAGATGGCTTGGTGAGGAAGGGCTTTGTCCAGAAGTCATCTGATCCTACACCAGTTGGGTTGGGGGGCTGTCCCCACCGAGCATTTCCAGGCTGCCAGTGAGACGTTGTGCAATGCCACTCAGAGGCTGCTGCTTTCGCATCCAGGGCTGGAGCAGGGCTCTCCTCTTGCAACTCAGTGAATCTTGCCAGAGTTTAGTTAGCACCTGTCCAAGCTGACTCTGACTTGCTCACCCTGAATGCCCTGCCCCCAAATCTGGCTTCCAGATTGCTGATTTGTTCAGCCAATTCCTGTTTGTTTCAACAAGTGTTGTTCCTACCTATGCAAATCTACTCTTTCTCACTCATTTCTTCCTCATACCCACAGCTCAGATTTCCAAATGCACCCAAAGACTCACTCACAGACTCCTTCTCTTATCTCAGTCTTTTCCCATCTCAGAGTGCCCACTCTGGGCCAGAAAGGCGATGAGGAGGATTTACCGTGCTTTCCAGGGGCATTTACAATGTTCTAGAGGGGTGCATTTCACTCCCCACCCCGCCCGTCATTCAAACACATATACACTCACGCACACTAGGTCTGGAGTCTTCACAGAGTAACACAAAATCTGATCCAGGTCAGAAACTGTTTCTTTCATGTATAGTGACACGTGAACCACAAGAAGTGAGGACTGTAAAACCCACCCCCAGTCATCTTCCTAGAGTATCAAAATGATTAGGGTGAAATGAAATGAGATAGAATTATCAACAGTACATTCGTATGTATGTACATACACTTGTATAAAAGGTATGTTCTTTTTTTATGTTACAAGGAGACAACGTAAATTGTCTTGCAGCAGTATAAGAGAAATTTTTCTTGGGTTAGAAAATGAAATAATGAAAAAAACTATGAACCTTTGGTATGGCTCAAGAAATTGTGATACTTTTGATCATGACTTTTTTACCTGATTGTATTCTTTAAAATTATGAAGTCTATTTGAAAAATGTTTACCTTAAAAATCTTATTATCCTAAGGGTTTTTTTTTTGTTTAATTGCTAGATAAAATCTACTGTCATAGTAAACAGTGCCTCCTAGCACCAAAACCAATTAACCGACCAAACAAAAATGTGTTCTAATCATGCTATTATTAATTTATTGGTCAGCATAGGTTAGCTTCTATAACAAACACCCCCTATATTGTTGTGTCTCACTCATGTGCAAGTCTGACATGGGTTAGTGAGGTCTTTGCTCCATGAAGTCATAAAGAGACCTAGGTCATTCCTCTCAAACAGTCTCACCATCTATTAGCACCTTGTCCTCTAAGTTCAGGCACAAGAGCAGAGAAATAGACTGAGTATGGAGAAGATAGTATTGCATTTATCCACCTGAAAGCAGAAATGACGTACATCTCTTTAGTGCTTATTGGCTTGGGTAGAACTTGGTCACATGGCCCTATCTACCTTACAAAGTCAAGAAATGTAGTTTACCAGTGTGCCCAGAAGGAAGAGGAAAACACAGATTTTGGTAAAGTCTTCAAGCTTCTCCCAAAGTCTACCCTTCTGGTCCTCAAATATCCATTCACTCCTTTTGTCTCATAAGCAGAACACAAATTCCCAAGGAAGAAACTCCATGATCCCACCTAGCTCAAAATCTAGGGTCTCTGGATGACACAAAATTCTCTCTGTCATGTCTTCATATGGCTCCTATTGGTTCAGTAGATTATGAAATAAACAAATGGACCATTTCTCCCTGTCACCCGACATCCAATGGCAGTGCAGGCAGGAAAACCAAATAAAAACTGCCATATGCAAGGGGAATAATGGTGAAAAATGGCCCCAGTATTTTGGAGTCCAGTTGGGCAGGCATTGTGATGCTACGCTCTTCCCACCCCAATAGCACTTCCCAGAAGTGCTAAAAGTTCCTTGGCAACATGTTGATTCTGCTCTCTAAAAGGAACTCCTTTTACTTTGTTATCCATCATTCTGCCATCAGTAGAATTATTCATTTTACACTGTTCTCTAAGATCAAACCTTAAGTGTGCATTGTGGATCATGCCCTCCTTGGTTAGGTAACTTTTACAGCTCACTTTTTAACCAAGTGTGGTTTAAGGTTCTTGGAAACCTATTTTGTTTTGTTTTGTTTTGTTGTTTTGTTTTGTTTTGTTTTTGAGATTCAATTTGTGGTTACTTTGGGAATATGATTCCTCAAAAACTTAGTAGACTTCCAATCTATTTGCTTCCAGTTAGTTCTATATGCTAGTAACTATAACCAAATGTTTTTCCCAAAGTTCTTATGCGTATTTATTTGCTCCCTATTCCCATGTGTTTCTTCTCAACTGTGGCTTCTTTGACACTATTTGGAAATATAAACTTAGATGGGAAGACATCAAACCTTAATCTAA